AAATGGAAACTAAGTGAAGTCCTGGGAACTTAAGATGGCTGGCATGATGTTTACTACATCATTCACTGAATGCCGATTGGTCCATAAAACATAGGTCTAACACTATTGCATGAAAAAAAATTGCCCTTTATTTCACTTTCTTTTTCTGAACTCGACGTTTGCTATGCATCTATTCCAAGACTGGTCACCAAAAGGAACAGTCTTCATTGGTGCTCCATAGTTTGTCTTGTAAGGTATACATGTTAGCCATATTTTTTCTCTCTTGACTGAGAAAGTCTGTGCAGTCTTGCAAGACATGCTCTAGAGTTTGCTTTGATGTCCCACAACCAGCTGTACTGGAGTCATACAAAACAGGTGTTCTGTGAGTTTACAGCGTATCATTCTGAGACCTAAAATTCTTCGTGGTCCGCATGTTTCTATCAAGCTCATTTATACCATCATGCGATGCGTAATTGCTTAAACCTGACTTTGACTTCTTGTGGTCCCGGTTCACGTCCGGGGGTAGGCAGAAAAGCCACACTTCTCCCAGATTTACGGTATTTATCCTGGAATCAAGGCCGAAGGGTTGCGATATCCATAGTACCGAGCCAAAGGGTTAACAACTCCTGGTTTCTAGATATTTAAGAAAAAAAATACCATCATGCTTTTGATCTTTAATTTTGTTGACGTCTCGATTTCATCTTAACAGATTATTTCAAGTGTCTATGTGTATATTTGCTTCTGTCTTCGCCTTCATTGTCCCTCTGTTGATATAAATTTGTTGTGCCCGTTAACATCATAGCTGCTATATTTGCACCTTTTTTTTTTGGTTGACATGTTTGATTCGACTTTTCGCATTAACTATCTATTTACTATATTTGTGTGGTTCCCCTGGAGATAAAATAGAGTAGAATAATCAGTGACTGCACACTAAGGAAACAATTTATCTACCATGCCAATGACACAATGCTATCAAGATTGTCTAATAATTCTGTCAACGTCTAATTATTCACACTACAATTTCTATTGTAATCACAACCCAAATCAGGCGTAAAGGGCAAATAGGGCTAGAACTATATTTTTATAGACCAATCAGCACAAGATGGGGGATGTGGTCAGCATTACGTCGGCTGCCTTTACTTCCTGGGACTGCACCCGGTACCCACTTAAGGCTGGGTTGACCTGGGAGTCAAGGTCATTTTTTTAAAAAGTCGGCGCCGCGCCATTATTTGAAATATAAAATAAATATATACTATGAGAATTCTGTTAACACTGTAGCCTATAGGCCTATCCCAGTTATAACCCTGAGGGTGAAAGGGATATTTTTGATAGATTATTACTACATTTGTGTGCTTGATTTGTCATCTATTGATCCACAAAGGTGTCTCTAGAGCAGTGGTTCTCAACCTGTTTAATGCCGCGACCCTTTAATACAGTTCCTCATGTTGTGGTGACCTTTTAATACAGTTCCTCATGTTGTGGCGACCTTTTAATACAGTTCCTCATGTTGTGGCAACCTTTTAATACAGTTCCTCATGTTCTGGCGACCTTTTAATACAGTTCCTCATGTTCTGGCGACCTTTTAATACAGTTCCTCATGTTGTGACGACCCATTAATACAGTTCCTCATGTTGTGACGACCCATTAATACAGTTCCTCATGTTGTGGTGACCCCCAACCATACAATTATTTTCGTCACTACTTCATAACTTCATTAAATTATGTGTTTTGTGATGGTCTGTGGCGACCCCTGTGAAAGGGTTGTTTGGACCCCTCCCCCCCCCCCCCCCTCCAAAGAAAAAAAAAGGTTGCAACCTATAGGTTGAGGATCCGTCATCAAGGGCAGCCATATGCAGACTAGTCGAGGGAAAGCAGATGCAGAGCACAGGCATTTCCTGCTATCCAAGGAGGCTTTCAACCAAAGATGCTGGCCCGATACATGGCGATGTGGTACTGGACTCGCCCAAGGAATTGTCATTTCCTGCATATGACTGCTTTACTTCACATTCGGATACTGAACCTTCCACTGATTACTGGCTGCACTCTCTGGGGATCCACAGAAAGCTGTCTACAGACCCGAGTCACTGATCGCCTTAACAAGATGGGCATCTTGCTTCCTCAACGTGTTAGACTTTCTCTTAGTCTATGCCATCTGTCACGTGGACGCCACGTGACACTTTGTGTGACATTTATGGGAAGCATGTATCAGGCACGGCTTCCAATATGATGATGACACACTGACGAGTGTGACGAATAGTAGCGGACGTTTGCACCTTTTGTGCCATCCAGTATGTATGCATGTTTGTCTGTCTGTGTGTGTGCGTGGGCCAACCTAAGCCTACACAGTAGAACCGCATCACGAAAAATTTCGGATAGAATCATTGAGAGTAGATAAACGTGATACATCTAACTCGCTCTTATTGCAGGAAGACAACTATAAGACCGCTATGGTCACACGCGAAATATTTTCAGAATTTCGGATCTATCGACACCCAACCCAAAAACTGTTTTCAGTATCTTGTGGCAAAGTAAAATATTAAAAATTTAAAAACTATAAATGGTGATCCAAAGGACGTTTTGTGGATGTGGAAAGTTACGAGATACGCCTGGTCAAAATAGAAGGAGCAAGGGGAAAAGAGGAAACAGCAAGAAGAAAAGGACAGGTGGAACTCACCCGGACACAAAGAAGGATCAAGCGATCTGACTTGGAGGGAAGACGACTGGACTGAGCCCAGAGACAACGCAAATACCAGAACTGTAGCTACGAAAGTGGCGCAAATAAACCAGACCACAAATATAACTGGAGACACTTAGCAGCTTCGGCTAGCTTACTGTAGATTGAACGTGGTCAAGTTTTTAATTTTTTTCATTAAAGAAACAGGAACATCAGTTGTCATTTGATAGGACACTCGATGAGCGGACATTTGAACACATAAAGCTATTTTAGTAGGACTATCTGTCGGCTGACGTTTGATCCAAAGTTTATAGAGTGAACCTTTAACTAAAGACGTTAGAACCAGAGTTTGTCATTTAGTAGGACTGTCTGTCGGCTGACGTTTGATCCAAAGTTTATAGTTAACCTTTAACTTAAGACTTTAGAACCAGAGTTTGTCATTTAGTAGGACTGTCTGTCCGCTGACGTTTGATCCAAAGTTTATAGTTAACCTTTAACTTGAGACGTTAGAACCAGAGTTTGTCATTTAGTAGGACTGTCTGTCGGCTGACGTTTGATCCAAAGTTTATAGAGTTAACCTTTAACTCAAGACATTAGAACCAGTTTGTCATTTAGTAGGACTGTCTGTCGGCTGACGTTTGATCCAAAGTTTATAGTTAACCTTTAACTTAAGACGTTAGAACCAGAGTTTGTCATTTATTAGGACTGTCTGTCGGCTGACGTTTGATCCAAAGTTTATAGTTAACCTTTAACTTAAGACGTTAGAACCAGAGTTTGTCATTTAGTAGGACTATCTGTTGGCTGACGTTTGATCCAAAGTTTATAGAGTTAACCTTTAATTTAAGACGTTAGAACCAGAGTTTGTCATTTAGTAGGACTATCTGTTGGCAGACGTTTGATCCAAAGTTTATAGGGTTAACCTTTAACTCAAGACGTTAGAACCAGAGTTTGTCATTTAGTAGGACTATCTGTTGGCAGACGTTTGATCCAAAGTTTATAGTTAACCTTTAACTTGAGACGTTAGAACCAGAGTTTGTCATTTAGTAGGACTATCTGTTGGCAGACGTTTGATCCAAAGTTTAAAGTTAACCTTCAACTTGAGACGTTAGAACCAGAGTTTGTCATTTAGTAGGACTATCTGTTGGCAGACGTTTGATCCAAAGTGTCATTTGGTTTGATCTCGGGTTGCTGACTTCATTCTGGTGAGGTTGGGATGAAAAGAGTAACGGTGAAAAAGAGAAACATATTTCAAAACTGTTTGTCTTCTTCTTCTTCTTCGCGTTCACCAGCTGTACACTCTGGCGGAAAGTTCTGGTTGCTCGTCCACTACTGAACTGCAGTCCTGCTCCAGAACCTGACTGTTGCGTGTGCATCAGTTTTACAGATCTCATTCTCATGAATACAGACTGTTGGTTCCTTGCTTCTCCGGCAGATGCACCCCGACTTCAAAGGAAGCTTCCCAATTAGTCGACTCTTACGACATGCTTTTGGGGAGGCAGTGGGTCTATTCTTGTTTTCCCCACAATGGGGCCCCGGAACCCACACGGGGGCAAAACTGTTTGTAAATTGCCTGTCCTTGGGAATTATACAATAGTTCCCATTCCTGAAAAAAAGGCGTTTAAAAGTAGACAGGGAAGACCGAGAGAAAGAGAGAGGATTGACAGTGCGAAAACAGAGAGGAGAGGAGATTATCAAGAGGGTGGGCTGGAGAGGGAGAGAGGTTGCTCCGCTGGGCCCTTGTCGTAAGGGTCCCGGCATATTTGTTTGTCCAGGGGCCCATACTGCTGCTGATACGGCTCTAGAAAAGCAACTAAATTCTGTTAAGAGCCCTAGGGCATTACAATATGGTCTTAATCCGACCCTGGTGCACACTCGTTTCTGCAGGGCGACGCCTTTGTCACTTTAAGATGGAGGTTCGATTCTCGATATGAACTATTGTTTTTGATTTTTGCGTTGTCTAGTATTTCCCCTGATCACTCTACTTCTTTCAATGCGTGCCGATAAGTTCTGGTATATTTGTTAACTATGCCATCCATATCAGAAACGACTGACAAAAGGTTGTGGAGAGACATGGATGATCAACTACTTCGCAAGGACTTATGGGAAGGTTGTGTTACTATAAATAGACTTGAAGTATTATATAATGTAAACCTTTATTGCATCTATATTAATTCAATTAAGTCGCGCTTATCAGTTTAAACACACACCAAACAATGTAATTCTGGGTTCATAAATTAAAACATTTTCTAAGAGCCAACAAGTTCCCACGTGACGATGATGACGTCAGCCGTCTCCGCGTGTGTCGCCGCCATTTTGAAACGAATCGTCGACGAGGTCCCCCCCAGGCATGGACGGGTAAGTTCCTGTGCTCTTGTTGTATCTTCGTGCAGCCGGTCGCATCTGTTCTCTGAACTCCGTTCTTATACAGTAGATGTATGTAATAATGCGTTTTACATATTATATCTGTTTTTTGTTGTTGTTTGCAGTTATAAACGCTGCTACTTTTGTTACAAATTATTTGTCCAAAAAGTTGAAAGCGTGGCTCGCCATTTTGGAAGTAAAACTGAAACCAATTGCGCATTTGATTATATCTTGTAAATTTACTGCTTTTAACATTCACGCTGCAATAGTAGATTGTTTCCAGGAATAACATGTTTGCTGTAGAATTGTTAGATACTTCAGTTTTTCGATGTTATTCATTACATTTCCACTAGAACTAAATCAATAGTGGAGTAACGGTTTTTGAAAGCGGCTCTCCTCCGAACGGTGTCAAAATATTATGGCGGCCATAAAATATCCAGACATATCCGTACGGGGCTCAGTTCTAATAAAATTATGCCAGCTCCGTATAACGAAACAAATGCTGTAACAGGGTCTCAGCGATATGTTACTTGATGACCTGTTTCTGTGACTCACTGACTGCCTCACCGCCGAGTTTATCCCCCGCGCCGCTACGTGCTGCGCGGATGGGGGGTGGGGGCTAATCTAGATGGCTGGGACTCACGAGCAGCAGCTACCGCATCTCCTGCAACTTCATCCAACTAATTTGCTCGTGAGTCCCAGGCACCTAGTTTACCCCTTCCCCTATCCGCACAGCGCGTAACAGCGCAGGAATTTGCTTGGCGGTAAGTTTAATTGCGTTTTGCGTTTTACAGGTCGGCAGGTCTGACATCTACCGCTGCTAAATCCTCAATCGGACGAGCAGGGCACTCTTCCGAATAACAGTCCCTTATTATTCAAAGACAAAAAATCCCATTCAGGACCTCAAGAGGTCGTAGTTAGGGACTTGAGAGGTCATGTAGTTAAAATTAAAAATATGGAACAGGAACACTACGAACTATGCTTTCTTCCAGTATATAATTTAGTTTGAACGAAATTACTGAGTCTTCGCTAGTATAGTTGATAAGCAGTCTGCTTGTTATGCCGGTGATCGGGGTTCGATTCTCCGGCGGGCAAAAACGTTATTCTTTTTTTTTTCTTCAAAAGGATGGTTTGCACGTTGTGTTGTGGTTAACAACTAGGCTGCGAAATCTGCGCCTTTCGCTCGGTCTAGGGTGGTTTGCACGCTGTGGGTGGTTTACAACCGGGCTGCGATATCTGCGCCTTTTGCTCGGTATTGTGGTTAACAGCTAGATTGAAAGTGTGGTTTTCACGTTGTGTTGTGGTTTACAACCAGGCTGCGATATCTGCGCCTTTCGTTCGGTATTTTGGTTAACAGCTAGGTTGCGATAGCTTGTGTTTAACAGATAGGTTGCGATAGCCGCGGCAAATTTTGTTTTTTTTTTTGCTTTTAAAAGGGTGGTTTGCACGTTGTGTTGTGGTTACAACTAGGCTGCGATAGCGGCGGCGAAATGCTCAATGGTCATGTGAGGTTATTTTAAAAATGACCTACAGTCACTACTTTTCACACAGAAATTGTCCTTACTTTTGTACCATTTTATATTACTCCTTATTGATATGTTTTCTTTTTCTTGCAGAGATTACTATTCATCTGGAATGAAGGTATGTTTTAAATGTTCATGTTTTAATATGTTGTGGGCTGGGATATGTTTTCTTTCAGAGTGTAGCCTGTAGGCCAGATGGCTGTGTCACTCATATCTCTAAACTGTTATGGATATCTTGAATATTTTCTAGGTCATACATGAGATGAGAGAAAGAAACCTGCTAATTGTTTTTTTGACTACTAATGAAATACTGTCAGTGTAAAGATCAATCACTGCTAAGAATACGCGAATTGGGAGTAAAGATCAGCATAACCAAGCATGAGAAGCACACCGGATGCACAGTCTTGTTAACCAACATAGGACTGGTACTATTAACCGCACGACACTGATTAATATGTTGAGAGGGGAATCTGAACGCCTGTGGATGTGTCCGGAGTGATGTGAAGATGATCTAACTAACTCAAAGATCAATTATAGTAATTATTCTGACAGATTTCCTGGTCATGTTTCTTGTTAAATACAAAGTTTTAAAAAAACACGTTATCAATTTGTCTTAATATGGAAAGGTGTCATTAGTGTTTGTAAGACAATTCTTTGTTGTTTCCTTTGTAATTTATAGAGCCTGAAAAAAGTAAGACATAAAAAAAATACGTGGTATTGCATTATTTTGTGTGGCTGTTGGTTAAGGAAACATGCATGTTTATTGATGTACTTAACCCAATGTTTTTTTTATTTCCAGCGAGGCCCTGATGACATGATGCAAGTCAGTGATACTGGAGACTCCAATGATGCCAAGAAGGTATGTTGTGGGTGTTGTGTGTCAAAGAGTGTAGAAGACTGCTAGAGGGCTTAGTTTGGTGCTTTTATGAACACATGTGCTAGCTGGCTAGTCCATTATTGGTGTCTCGGAAACTTGTCATGGATACCAAGATTTCATAGTTCAAGGTCACGTCAGTGTGAAATAAGGCTAATAATAAGCTCTAATGGGCCAACCACAGTTCACATTAGTCCTTGTGCACTGCTTATGCACAAATAGGTTGTGAAACCATATTTAAAACAGTATATTTTTTTAAGTGCTGTATTTCTAGCAACAGGTAACTAGCAAACAACTTTCTCTTTTTAGGCAGGCTGTGATGTAAGTGAAATTCTGTAAAGCCCCTGCTACATGTCTCATGCGACTTACATGCTGCACATAACATGTCAAGCAGCATTCAGTTAAAATATTTAATGGTATTTACCTTGCATGGGGAACACTACTTTGATAATGACCAGAGTTTGGGCCTCCCATATGTCTAGCAGTTCTCAGACAAGAACAGGTCTAGTACTGGATTTCTGTCTGATTACCTGTTGGCAGATGGCATTCACACGTTCTGTTAGTTTAATATTTAGACAAACACAAAAGCTTTCTCCCTTTAGTTTTAGTCTGTCTGACCTGTCCGATCTCAGATGTGAATGAGTAATCTACCGTATTTCTGCTTTCAGGCAAAGTTTGACAATGGAGGCAACCCGCCATCCAGAGTTGTACACATTCGCAGCCTTCCCAACGATGCCGCCGAGACAGATGTGGTACAACTGGGCCTGCCTTTTGGTAAAATGACCAATGTCTTACTGCTGAAGCAGAAAAATCAGGTCAGATTTTTGTCTAATGAGAACTGGTTAAATGTCCTAGTTTGTGTTATATATTTTAAGTGCCCCTAACGGCTGAACTCGAAAAAAAGAGATAAAAGCATTGGAAATGCGATCTTTCAAAAAAAAAAATTATCGGCATGATATAGCGACAGCATCACAAATGACGAGGTTTCACGTATAATTGCCTGGCACATTGACGACTATGAAAAGGCAGAAAGTGCAATGGTGCGAACATGTAAAACAGATCTAACAGCCCTACAAAAAGAACACTAGGCTGCTCACTAGAGGAGAAGAGGCGAAGCAAGGAATCCTTGGATACAGAACTTGGCTGACTGGACAGGTCTTTAGAAGCTCATGACAACTGACCGTCAGAAGTGGATGGTTTTCATCAGACAGCAACTACTACTGACCCAGTGAAGCTGACTAATGAGGACTTGAATTCTGAATGCATCTGCCTGAGAGGCAAAGAACTAACGTTCGGCACAGAAATAAATGTGCTTGCAGCAGTCATGTTCTGTAACAATACTTATATATATCCATGAGTAGACGAACGCACTTGTTCTTTTTCCTGCTGAGTTAAGTCAGTGACTGAATAAAAGCATGGCAAGACACAAACTGGATTAATTGGTCATGTTTGTCACATTGTAGATTGTTAACTGATGACCTCTAGAATGGATGAGGATCTGGCAAGTCTAGATTCACATGGCCTTACATAATTCTCTCCTGGTGGCTAGTCTCATTTAACAAGGATGATACGGTTAATTGGGAGGTGTGAGTTTATGCAATGTGAGCAAGCAGTGAATGTTGCTACTGTCTACCAGTGAGGAGTATTGAGGAGTATTTGACACATTATAACTTCATCTTTTCTCCCTTGTGGAGAATTGTGAACATCTGTTTTTGGTTCCTGTGCTGACAGAAAGGACCTTTTTCCTCTGTCATCTTGGTGTTCCAGTCTGTAAATGGCTGTCAGAGTTCACTGTCTAGCAGTTTCATATCATGTCTATTATCATGTTCTGTAGAAATGCCATATATAGGTAACAGACTGCTAATGTCTGTTTGCCATATCCAGTTTCACAACAGAGCAGAGAGATTTGAACTACTAGATAGCTTTTATCAAGGCTGATGTAAGGTTGTATGACAGAGGAAAAAAGGGGTCAGACCCTAAAGAATTGATTTATATGGCCAGACAGGCTATCTGGGACTTATTCCTCTGGGTGGATATCAAATATATGACTTGTGGAGAAGCCTAAGAGGCTGAGGTGAATTGAATTCCTGCTTGTAATACGGACTGTTTTGCTTCTTTTGTCTTTGAACATTTAAATATATCCACGCTATATTGTTTTAATGATGGTGGCCTCAAAAAGTTGACTCTGTGTTAATATAACATGTTGATGTGTTTGCAGGCGTTCCTGGAGTTCCAAGACGAGTCGTGTGCAGTCAACATGGTCTCTTACTTCAGATCCAACGCCGCCCAGGTCCGCCTGAAAACTTGCTATGTCCAGTTCTCCACCCACAAGGAACTCAAGACTGACAGCTCAAACTCACTGGTAGGTTGAGTGTTTCCTGGACGTTTCATGACTGATATACAGTATAAAGCTATTGCTGATATTAAATGCTGTTTGCTGTGCAATCGGACATTTCCAAGAATTATAATTTTTTAAAAATATATATATATTTATATATTATATCAGCACTTGCACACTCATTTCCTGTATCGTTATTTTTTGTTGTGGAACATTTTTGTTATTATTTAGGGAAGACTTGTGAATGAATAAAGCAGGAAGGGGTACTGGAAAGGCAGAATCTTAGACGGGCCTGCATGATTAATTTTAAACTTTTTGTAAATAAAGTTTGTTAGTCGTTTTAATGGTTTTATATGTAATTACGGGTTATGTCTGGCATCAGCAAATGAGTCAGTGTACATGTTGTCTGAAATCTGGAGTCTAACACACTTCTTCTTGTAACAGAACACCAGTGCTCAAGCAGCTCTGCAGGCCGCACAGGGGCTTCTGGGAGCCGTTGGTGGGGGCGGTGGCGAGACCACCATCCTGCGAGTGATTGTTGACAATGTCCTTTACCCTGTCACCCTGGAGGTCTTGCATCAGGTAACATGCTTGAACTATCATCTGTTTTTATTGATCATAAATCTGTACATATTTTTTTTTATAACTGTGTTGCAGTTTGTTTTGTATGGTATTAAGCTGGAATAAATATCTATTATTTTGTAAAGTCTAAGTTATGTGCTGTTTTATGACTGTTTTAACCTACAACATGAAAACATCTAATATTGAACGAGATTCAGAATTGAAGCAGACTAGTTGTTAAATAACTTGGTGCATTAATTGGCTTATGTTCTGTATAGCATACTAATGAAATTTATGTGTATATAAATATATATATAAAGTAAAGAATATAAAAATAAATGTCACTGTTTCTCATTTCAGCTGTTTTCCAGATTTGGGAAGATACTCAAGATCATTACTTTCACCAAGAACAGTAAGTTAACAGCTGGATTCTCTTCACTTAGAACAGCAATGTCCCTACTGCAAACATCTCTATATCACATTGTCATGGTCTCCTCCAGGTTGCCCTAGCTGGCGGTCAGCTCCAGGTTGCCCTAGCTGGCGGTCAGCTCCAGGTTGCCCTAGCTGGCGGTCAGCTCCAGGTTGCCCTAGCTGGCGGTCAGCTCCAGGTTGCCCTAGCTGGCGGTCAGCTCCAGGTTGCCCTAGCTCAGCGCAACAGCTCTCTAGTTAAGGGTAGGCTGTCACTGTTGTACATGTTTCTTATAACAGGACACTACTTGAGTAGGATCTGTCAGAGAAATTGTGTATTTGCTTATACGTGTAGGTTTAACCAAGATTTTGTCAGTTTTAATAATTCATCTAGCACAAGCTGTCAAACTCCCGTCCTCTTGAGAAAATATTTGTCTTGTGGTCATACATTAGGTTTAGACAAGATTTCGTCTTGATTTAATCCATCTCTCCTCAAACAAAAAGTGCACAAACATAACCCAGCTGATCTCAACACCTGTGAGCGATTGCCACTTCCACAGCCCTCTGCTGTAGGTTGTTCCTGTGAAGAAGTAATAGAAATAGACTTCTTTAATGATGATAAATCACTGTCACCATACATGTGATTATCAGATTCAATTATGTTTTTTGTATCAGGGAAAATCGGGAAAGAAAAATGCCTAAACTGTTCCCCATTGGCATCAAAGAAAGATCATTTCTTGAATTTACAATTTAACCATGCACATGCAGACTGAAATAATATCAATATATTCCTCCTATTTCAGTTTTGCATTTTGTCATTACCATCCATGGCTGGTGCACTCCTCTAGACCTTGCTGTTGTGGTCATATACTGCTGTTATGTGGCACTCATATTCCTGTATACTGTAATTTGTCTCTCTAATCTCCACTGCTGATGCTAAGTCTTGTTTTTTTCCTATCTACAGATACGTTCCAGGCACTGATCCAGTTTTCTGACCCTATTTCTGCTGCAGCTGCTAAAGATGTGAGTACTGCACAATGTTGGTGTGTTATTTTGTTATAAATCTGTCTGATGAGACTGATTGATTCATGTCTCCTGCCTCATTACAGTGCTTGTAAGGCTTGTAGAGGGTGATGTCAATTGACTTAAACTTGATGGAGATTTGTGGTGTTTGTTAAGAATCGTGTGTGTTGTTAGTTTTGTAACTAAGAGGGTGTAGGAGTCAGATTAAGAAGTGGCACCAATTAAATAATGACAATTCCTTTAACTATCTAAAATCAGCTTACAATCACAGATATCTTGTCTGTTATGTTTCCATCTTGTCTGTATTCTTCCCATCCTTCCTATGTGAGCATTTTCAAGGGTAGTCTTTTACCTCTAAGAAGAGAATTGCAACATAGAGAAGGGGAGAGACGGACTAGTTGTGTATCCATGTTTGTTTGTCAACAGTCACTTGACAACCAGAACATCTACAACGGCTGCAACACCTTGAAGATTGATTACTCCAGACTGACCAACTTGAATGTCAAGTACAATAATGACAAGAGCAGAGACTTCACCCGGCCTGACCTACCCACTGGCGACAGTATGGATAATGGTAGGTTATCTGCATCTTTCCTTTTCTGTGTGTATGCTTTGGCCGGGGAGGTGCTACAAAGCAGATTAACCCCTTTTATACCATAATGATCTTTAACAAATATGACAGTTTTTACAGATTTGGTTAAATATTCCTAAAATTCTCTGCAATTGTAACATAAGAAAACGCTCCTGTGTGGCTTCTAGGGTCCCCTTATGGGGAAAACAAGAATAGACCCACTGCCTCACCATGTAAGTAAGTCAAAAGAGCTTCTTTCCAACTCTTGAGTACATCTTCTGAGTGGTAATGAAGCTGCACATAAATAATAGGTTCTTAATTTATAACGTACCCCAAACACGAAATCCCCGTGGGAAATCCACAGCTGACCTGACAGTCCATTATTTAAAGGGGCGGCAGTGTGCTTTTTTTTTTTTTTTTTTTTTTTTTTGAGTGTTCATCTAGTGTCTTCTAATGGCTGTAGATAAATCGCGAGAAACTACAACCTGAACACCCTAGAATTTATTGGGAATGTCTCCCTTGACGTTGTCGTGACGTCAGGGGTAAGTTATAAATTAAGTACTCAATAATATAGTACACGCCAAACCCATACCCTGGAACAAAGGGTTTAACTTTTAGGAGCTTACAGCTGGTGAATCAATAGTAGAAGCTACAGAAATTTGTAGTTTAGAAATGTTTAATGTCTAAGGAATCCAATGCCTAGACCATCGAGTATACAGGAAGCTGTGACGCATTCTTCACTGATGGTGTCATGATACTTGGACACAATTTTTGTATACAGCCACCTAGTTTTTTGTTTTAAAAAAAACAGAAAGGTTTGTTTCTATGTGAAGAAAATAATTATTAAATTCAAACAAAGCCAAGAATTAACTCACATCCTTTCCTTTCACCATCTAAATATGTTTTGTCACCTGTTAACAAAAGACATGAAACATATGTGATCGCATGGTGGTGTCACAGAACAAAATTCTCTCTAGCCACACAAATTGTGTTGCATACCATGCTGTTGTAACTAGCACCAAATGGCCACTTCACAAAGACATTGTTCCATTTTTGCTTGTGGTTTTTAAGTCAGTTGTGCAGAAGTTGCACCGTGGAAGAGATTGTGGCCTCGCAGCACAATATTCTCAAGGCAGCAACGGAAGGCTATAGCCAGCCTTAATTCTTTAGACTGCACAGAATGGATTTCAGTCGCAACACTGAAATTTAAAATCCCAGGCTAGTACGCATTTGATTATATTAGATGCATTTAAAGCAGTTTTTTTTTTAATGTCGGGCCACGCATAATGGGGGCAGTTCAAATATGGGCCCCTCCAGAGTTTAAGTAATGTGGGGGCATAAGGATGTTAGAAAGGCTTAGTCAAATATGAGCCCCTCCAGAGTTTAAGTAATGTGGGGGCATAAGGATGTTAGAAAGGCTTAGTCAAATATGGGCCCCTCCAGAGTTTAAGTAATGTGGGGGCATAAGGATGTTAGAAAGGCTTAGTCAAATATGGGCCCCTCCAGAGTTTAAGTAATGTGGAGGCATAAGGATGTTAGAAAGGCTTAGTCAAATATGGGCCCCTCCAGAGTTTAAGTAATGTGGGGGCATAAGGATGTTAGAAAGGCTTAGTCAAATATGGGCCCCTCCAGAGTTTAAGTAATGTGGATGCATAAGGATGTTAGAAAGGCTTAGTCAAATATGGGCCCCTCCAGAGTTTAAGTAATGTGGATGCATAAGGATGTTAGAAAGGCTTAGTCAAATATGGGCCCCTCCAGAGTTTAAGTAATGTGGATGCATAAGGATGTTAGAAAGGCTTAGTCAAATATGGGCCCCTCCAGAGTTTAAGTAATGTGGGGGCATAAGGATGTTAGAAAGGCTTAGTCAAATATGGGCCCCTCCAGAGTTTAAGTAATGTGGGGGCATAAGGATGTTAGAAACGCTTAGGTGGGGCCTGGCGCAGAATAGGGTTGTGAACCACTAGCTGAAGGATGAAAGTCATGAACTGGCTTTGTTTTAATGTGTGAAATGTTATTGCAGACATGGGCTATGGAGGTGGGCTCGGAGGCTTTGGTGGCGGACTTGGAGGCTTGGGCGGTGGACTTGGGGGTGCTGGTGTCCTTGGCTCTGGTGAGTGAGTGTACAATATCAATTATGTGTGTTCTTAATTTGATGTCATAATTTTTCCAGTGTATATTTATTTTATACATTGCATATAATTCTTGTTCTGTCTCTCTGGTATATTTTTCATTTAAACATTCGATGAAAAATGGGTTTGGAGATATAAGTCTAGTTGGTTTAACTCTTGCAGCAGGCTCCCAGAATTGACGCGACCTATTTTAGAAAGTCAAAGGTAACCTGTGACCCTATATAGTAGAAGTAATCTTTTAATAGGGAATTCCAAAATGTTTTTTTTTTTCAAAAAGCAGAATATTAACAAATGTAAATTACAACATAGGTGAGTTAGTGATTTAAATTATAACTGATTAACAAGCTCACAAATAGCAGAGAAAACCTTTGCCACCTGTCCGTCAGAAGCAAGACTAGGTAGATGTGACACAAAGAATCAACCAAACACAAGCTGAACAGCACCTGCAGCTAGTGAACAAATCCCTGCAGGACATGATGGCTTGCTTTTCTGTTTTTTCTTATAATTTTCCCATCTGGCCCACTGCCTGGTAACTTCACAGAAGCCGCTTTACACCCCCATTAGGGGCCGTGACCCATGGAATGAGAATCCTTGACCCTTTGGTGACTATATTCCATCATTGGTCACAGACAGTACATTTGTGCTTGAGGTCATTACTGGTGCCTCAACAGTTTTGGCTTGCTGGCTCTCTCCTCTTGAACTCTGATCAATTGTCCCTATTCTTCTGTGTGCCTTTAAGAAATGACAGTGGTGTGGTTTACAGCATCATATTCCAGCACATTTTTAATGACTTAATTCTTGCTTGTGAAAGGGCTAGGTGTTTTCTTACCCTGCATCTAGACACATCAAGGATATCTAGTATATTTTGTTTGTTGTTGCTTGTTTTTGATACAGGGGCCAATGCAATGGCGATGGCAGGTTTAAGGGGTCTCGGGGGTGACTTCAACTTTGGTGGAAACCAGCTGGGCAACCGACTGGGCAACATGGGTAACCTTGGAGGCATGAACCAGTCATCTGGCACTCCAGTTATCCTAGTCTCTAACCTGGATGAAGAGGTTTGTTCTACATACTTTTTCTCATTGACATTCATTATTTCAATATAAATGTTAGGTTGCGATTTAATCGCTGACTAGCAAGTCTCGGTTATGGCAGACTATTTCATTGGAAGGCTGGTTGGAAATGTGATGTTTCACATTTGTAGATCAACTAGTACTGGTAGCAATTCTGGGGAACATTGTGTGATGTTTTACCTTGGTTTTCTGTTGCGCACAGGGCTTTGCTTTAAACATCACATGCTGCGGATGTCATGACCAGTAACTATTTAGTAATCGGGAAAAATGGCATGTCCTGTGAAAATTTGCAGTGAATGCAGCTGTTACCTTAGGGGTATGTGCTGTTACGAGAAGGCAGTCTAGTGTTATATATAAAAATAACTAGAATATAAATGACACATAATGTTGTTGAATGTTTGCCTGCGGGATATGGCTGGTGTCTTCATTTATTTATGTGCCTATTCCCCTTCTACTGTGCACCCTGAGGTGCAAGACTACTGGTCTGCTTTTGTGGCAATCTAAGAACGTACTGAGAGCATCACCTAATGTAAGTTATTAGGTGCCGGGGAGGGGAAGGCTGTGGGTCTACAGCTCTCTCCCCCCCCACACACACACACAAATGTCATGCAAATGGCGACTAATAAGAGCTTGCTGAAATTGGACATGTCAGACCGAAGGAAGTAGATATCACAGCCAAGCTATAAACCACAAAGTCAGCCAGTTATAGAATATTGGGTGCCTGTAGAAGAGGAATGCTGAAGCATGTTTTGTTGCATGTCACATTGTTTGACTACTTGACAAGATTTTTGAGTACAAGCCATGTTTGCATGCACGACATCAGTTGTAGCCAGATTCCATAGGTACAGACATGTAGTCTTGGTTTTTAATTCGCTCCTACAAATACTCTAGTGTGCTTCGCTTGGACTTCATTTTGGGCAGTTGTTCCTAATTGGGCTCACATGACAGTGTGCAAAAGGCTGTGCGTTGATGGACTGAACTGAAAATAATTAAAATAATGCACTGGTTTTCTTCAGTAGGCTTGATAATATGCTCTGTAGTGCCGACATGGCTTAATAATTCATAGCTATTCATCTAAATGTAACCAGTGGTCACAAGGTTGAATTGGGGGAGGGGGGGGGGGGGTGTGTTTCCCCATGTGCTAGAGACAAATAGCCTGGTATGCTTCAGATGGAGCAGGAAACATGGTTGAATTATTACAGAAGTAGTTGTGCTTCTCAGTCTACCATACAAGTCCTACTATGAAGTAAATGCTTAACCCTTTCTCCCTAGAATGATGACCTAGAAAAAATGTCCCATAATTTTGAAAAAATGATAATTTAATACCAGGACTCATTTTCGACCCGAACCATTGGAAACCAGTGTGACTTAAAAAATCATGACGTAATTTCTATGAATAAAGCCAGAGTATCAAAAGAAATCACGCACACATGCTATTTAAGTAACTATTATCATCAGTTCACTTGTTAAAGAATTGCGCACATGGAAACTGAATCAGTGCGTTTAGGGAGTATTCTTACAAACAAGAAGCAGTTAAATGGCCTTTATGTTGGCATGTCACACCGAAAAGGGTTTAGGTGCATTCTGGGACAATCAGGACTGTAGGAGAACTTGTGAGTCAAACTCCAAACTGATATTCTCACATGTGCTGTTTTGTTTTACTTTCTGTATTTCAATCTGAAGATTAGCCATTTTAGCACAGAAATAAGCACCTCATTTATTACTTAACTGATTCTTTTTCTTGTGTTGCAGCTTTAAATCTCAATTGTCAACTCATTTGTTTCTTTCTATTTTTTTGTCTCTCACGCTACCCTGTCTGCAACAACCAACCAAATGTAATGCCTGCCCTGTCCTGCCCCAAATCTGATGTGTTGCTGGGCCACCCTTTTGTCTGACCTGATGCTGCTGCTGTTGTTGCTGCTGCTGCTTACCCGACCTGAACTGACTCAAACCTACCTCGTTAACATCACTTTGTCTCACGCTGCTCTGCCTGTAAACAAACATAATAAAATGAATTGAATGAAATAGAAAGTGACGCCAGACGCTCTGTTTGTACTGTTTGGTAGGTAGCTCTTACTGTTGTAAGGCAGTATTGATTTCTTGTGTTGCCATGGTTTCAGTGGTTCTGTTTTTGTGCTGCCAATAACCTCCACTATTTGTGGTGTCCAAAAAATTGTTTTTAATGGGTAGACACAGGTTGACTTTGTTTCTTGAGATCACATTGAATCAATCCTGCCATCGACGTGGTGGCTTGTTTCTTCTATATCTTCCCTCATCATGGGCAATTTGTGAACACAACAATGGGACATGCAGATGTTTCTATGTCAAACTTGGTGTCATAAACAGCAGAATAGAAAGGGGTTGTGGTGAAGTGGACTTCAAGACCGTTGTTGCTGAAATACTGTCTAGAATATTGGACCCACACTTGATGTTGTACATGAGCATTGGACATGGGGCGTTGTTTTTAGAGCAGATTGTGTGCCTGACAACATTGCCTTAGATGCTGAAATACTCAAATTATCTAGGTAGATTCTATTACATGTTTATTGTTTTATTTGGCCAGTTTGTTCTTTGGTGTCTGCAGCCATACATATAGATCATTCCCCTATTCAACAGTGAGGTTCTTTCATCAGTGTTAACCTTTGTCATAGTTGACATTGTCTGCTTTCCTGTCACTACCATCGGTTCTAATTTGTCAGCCTCCCTCTTGTCAGGGCAGTTTGCTAAGTCCTAGCTGAATTGTTCTTGTTATTGGCAGCACTTTTGGGGGAAGGAGGAGGCTTGAAGGCGTTGAGAGTTCTAATTGGGGAGATCTGTGTGCGTGCTATATTTGTCATACATTTTATAGTGTACATGTTATACACATTTTGTATGAAGGAATTGTCTTTCACATGGCTAGTGATCTATTTATTGAACTGAATTTTTTGTTTTTCATATTTAATTACAAAATATTATGTTCTCAAATTGCTTCGTTTCCTTCTTACCCTGATACATGTTTTTTTTTTTTTAATGCTAAAAGTATTTTTGTCCCAAACTTATAATGGAGTAAATGTTTGTGTGTGGCAATTGTACATTTTTAATGGTTATGGAGAAAATTTTTGTGTTTTGTTTTGCAATTGTACATTTTCTAATGGTTTAGTATTGTGTTGTTTGGATATGTGTGTATATTTATATATAACAAGTTGTATTTGTACTGCACAGTATATTTTTTTCTCTTGTAAATGTACATTTGTATGTTTTTACCAAATGTAGAATATGTGAGAAGTTAATATTTTTAGATTGTCCGTGTATGCTTTTGTTACAATTTAGTTTTGTCTAGGTATTTAATGTTTTTCATCATCTGTCCAGGTAAGCCTTTTCTTTCTCTGTTATAGAATCTAGTAGTAGTGAATATATTTACTGTGAACTACTGGCAGTAGAAATCTGGTCTTGTGGAGAGTGTGTGGTAGACACATTAGAGATCCGAACCTTGTTCTGTATGCCAGATTTAAAGCAGGGATGAGGAAGTTATTCCGTGAGTGAGTACATGTCAATGCTCAGGGTAAGAATAGTCGTGCACCACCGAAGTTGTGCAGCATGAAGTGCCTATGTCACCCTGGTCCATTAACTAGAACAAGACTGTTCTAGGATCCATATTTTGACTGGCAACATCTGGTGTGAGTTCTGCCGACATTGCGGAACAGTTGATATGCTCCAGGCTGGCGATACAGAGATCCTACCACAAGTGACATGTATCATGTCTCAGCAAAAGAACATCGTTGGTCTAGCTCACTGCTGACACAGTTTCTTGTAAGACCAGATAGTGATGGATAACGGACTGTAATCTGATCTGGTCTAAATGATGGGGCGGAGGATCAGAGCTGTCCACAAAGCACACGCTGCTCGCTAAATGGGTAAAAGAGTTCACTATGGTGGAGTGGCGGTAGTATACATGTGTGGTTTGGTCTAGTTTTGTGGGTCGAGTGTACTAGTACCAGATTATCACCACAATGATGCTGGTGCTCTTCTGTGTTAAGGGACAGTGACTAGAGTAGTGCTGGTGGGGACAACAAAGTATTTAATTTGGTTTTATTTAGTTCATCTTCATAATATAGCAGGGCTCTCACTATGTCTGACTGAAACTAGCTCGGTCTCTCGCTAGTGCTCACGCACTTTCATAACCAAGGAGTTTCTTGTATCATGTGCCTAACTTTGTGCTTATCAGTCAGTCCCTGCCCCTCCCTTCTGCCATATGATGTTTTGTACGATCCACTGTAGTGCCTGACATAGCCAAACTATTTAAGATGAATGTTCCTTGATGTTCAGATCTTCTGTGATTTGGTTTTTCTTTTCTTATCCATGGTATTCTGAGAATCTTTCTATAGCATTTCAGCTTTTAAAAGCCTCTTTTTTTCTCCCTTAAGGACTGCAAGATCACCCCTAACTCACATCCTGCTGTTTAACCATAAACTTTGTCACTCATTGTAATTTTTGCTTGACATGCAGTTTTATCGGGGGTTTTTTCTGCCTAAATTATTTAATCACCAGCAGTACTTCTAGTTTGTTCACAAGCTAATTTACTCGAAAATATGATTTTTATTCCAAAATAGTTGATGTGTTGATTTTATGTCAGTACATAAATGAATTTGTGTGATTGTACAGGTGTGTATGGTAATGTGCACCGTGTGAAGATTCTCTTCAACAAGAAGGACAATGCTCTCATCCAGATGGCAGACCCAACACAGGCCCAGCAAGGTCAGTTGACAGCTCTATTGTCTGGGTGGTTGTTGTTGTTTTTTTTTCATTATTATACACATGCAGTGATCACATTGTTAGACAGGGCAGACTGGAGTGACATATGTGTTGTGCTGGGTGTGTGTTAGAGGCTGTGCTATCCTAATGTTACAGGTGGGTGTGTGTGTTAGAAGCTGTGGTATCCTAATGTTACAGGTGGGTGTGTGTTAGAGGCTGTGGTATCCTAATGTTACAGGTGGGTGTGTGTTAGAGGCTGTGCTATCCTAATGTTACAGGTGGGTGTCTGTGTTAGAGGCTGTGGTATCCTAATGTTACAGGTGGGTGTCTGTGTTAGGGGCTGTGGTATCCTAATGTTACAGGTGGGTGTGTGTTAGAGGCTGTGCTATCCTAATGTTACAGGTGGGTGTCTGTGTTAGAGGCTGTGGTATCCTAATGTTACAGGTGGGTGTCTGTGTTAGAGGCTGTGGTATCCTAATGTTACAGGTGGGTGTGTGTTAGAGGCTGTGGTATCCTAATGTTACAGGTGGGTGTGTGTTAGAGGCTGTGGTATCCTAATGTTACAGGTGGGTGTTAGAGGCTGTGGTATCCTAATGTTACAGGTGGGTGTCTGTGTTAGAGGCTGTGGTATCCTAATGTTACAGGTGGGTGTGTGTTAGAGGCTGTGCTATCCTAATGTTACAGGTGGGTGTGTGTGTTAGAGGCTGTGGTATCCTAATGTTACAGGTGGGTGTGTGTTAGAGGCTGTGGTATCCTAATGTTACAGGTGGGTGTCTGTTAGAGGCTGTGCTATCCTAATGTTACAGGTGGGTGTCTTAGAGGCTGTGGTATCCTAATGTTACAGGTGGGTGTCTGTGTTAGAGGCTGTGGTATCCTAATGTTACAGGTGGGTGTGTGTTAGAGGCTGTGCTATCCTAATGTTACAGGTGGGTGTCTGTGTTAGAGGCTGTGGTATCCTAATGTTACAGGTGGGTGTGTGTTAGAGGCTGTGCTATCCTAATGTTTAAGGTGGGTGTCTGTTAGAGGCTGTGCTATCCTAATGTTTAAGGTGGGTGTCTGTTAGAGGCTGTGCTATCCTAATGTTACAGGTGGGTGTCTGTTAGAGGCTGTGCTATCCTAATGTTACAGGTGGGTGTCTGTTAGAGGCTGTGCTATCCTAATGTTACAGGTGGGTGTCTGTGTTAGAGGCTGTGCTATCCTAATGTTACAGGTGGGTGTCTGTGTTAGAGGCTGTGCTATCCTAATGTTACAGGTGGGTGTCTGTGTTAGAGGCTGTGCTATCCTAATGTTACAGGTGGGTGTCTGTGTTAGAGGCTGTGCTATCCTAATGTTACAGGTGGGTGTCTGTGTTAGAGGCTGTGGTATCCTAATGTTACAGGTGGGTGTCTGTGTTAGAGGCTGTGCTATCCTAATGTTTAAGGTGGGTGTCTGTGTTAGAGGCTGTGCTGTCCTAATGTTTAAGGTGGGTGTCTGTGTTAGAGGCTGTGCTATCCTAATGTTACAGGTGGGTGTCTGTGTTAGAGGCTGTGCTATCCTAATGTTTTAGGTGGGTGTCTGTGTTAGAGGCTGTGCTGTCCTAATGTTACATACAGGTCGGTGGCTGTGGTATCCTAATGTTACAGATGGGTGTATGTTAGAGGCTGTGGTATCCTGTTACATACAGGTGGGTGTATGTTAGAGGCTGTGCTATCCTAATGTTACAGGTGGGTCTGTGGTACAGGCTGTGTTGTCCTAATGTTAAAGGTGGTTTTGTGGGTGTTTGGCTGGATCGTTAGAGACTATCGTAATGTTAGAAGTGGTTCTATGAGTGTTTAGCTGGATAGTTAGAGGCTGTGTGTGTCCTAATGTGGAAGGTGGTTGCATGTCTTGCTGTAGTAACATTATGTTTAACATGTGAAAGTTCACTCCCAGCTGGAGCAGTTTCTTCTGTTTGCAGCCCTGCTGTATGTATTTCAGCCGTTGTGTGTGTGAGCTTGTTGCTGATATATGCATGTACTCTTTGCAGCCATCACTTATTTGGACAAGGCCCGTTTGTGGGGTAAACAGCTTCGCGTGGCTCCATCCAAACACCAGATGATCCAAATGCCTAAAGATGGACAGTCTGTGAGTTATGTTTGTTGCAACATTAATTTATGACCTAGAGAAATAGCCAGTCAGTCAGTTTAGTTGTAAATGAGTTTATCCCCGTGTGAGTTCTGGGGCCCTGTTGTAGGGAAACACAAGAAACAGACTCCCTGCCCCCCCTGACGAGCATGATGTAAGAGCTTCTTCAAAGTTGAAGTATGTCTGCCGGAGAGGCAAGGAAACAAGAGTCTGCATACAAATATGTGCATGCAACACCCAACGGTTCCAGCTGACAGGCTGTGCTGCTGTCACTGGCTCGAGCCAACGATGCAACATTAAAGCAGCGGTTCTCAAACTGGGTGGGGTGCTGCGGCAATAACCAGGTAAACAGCAACAGTCTAGAGACCATTAGTATCGGAACTCTTTGCTGGCTGCTGAAGATGGGGGACGTAGCCCTTTGGGATGTCCCCGAGTGCTGTGATGACGGTTCTTGAATCAAATACAATCAAACAACAGTCCAGAGGTGGACGAACACCCAGAACAGTAGAAATACTGGAGTTCAGGTGAATGCGAAGAAGAAGAAAGAGTTAATTTTCATCGCACGATTTCACCCACTTCCTAATTCACAAACACCATGTGTAAATTACAGGGTTCGTAGTGGACCGGGAAATCGGGAAATTACCGGGATTTTTTTCGTTGACCTTGAACCGGGAATTTAAGCTTATAAAAGACATTCCGACCTTAAAAACCCGTGAATTTTGACCGCGGCAATGAAATCGTCAGAAATCCTGTGTTTTTCAGCACAGGCAATTTTGAGGGAGCCATTTGGCTTTTTTGGCCATTTGGCTAGTTTTTGGCTACTTTCGTTGTATGGTCGTTTCAGGTGTGAGGGCAGCTGATTATTGGCTATTTTCAGCCGAAATGGCTTGTTAAAGGCCAGGGGAGGGCGGGCTTTGTTGCTGATCATGAAAACATGCAGACAGCAGCGGTGTGGCATGGGGCGGGAAGTAGCAGATTCCGTCTCGCGCGCGTGTGTGTGTGCCTTTGTTTCTAGCGAGTCCGGCAGAATGAACAGTTTAAATCGTTTATGGCCGTGGTTTCTAGAAAGGATTACATTGGGAGATGGTGGGGCTCGGTGCAGTTGTATTTATAAATAGAGTCGCCGTGGTGGGGGCTAAGCACGGCCTTCTCTATTAATTAGAGACGGCATTGGGGCTAAGCAAAGTGACTGCAGCTGGATTTCCCAGTTCTATTTTTGGCCTGGATTTATCTTTACAGTGTGTTTGGCGATCAGTATTGTAATTCCCCGAGATTCCCTCTTCTGTTGTCTCACCCCTCTCTCTCTCTCTTCCCTCCCTCTTTCACTCTTCTACCTATTGCTCCTTCCTTCCCGTCTCCTGCATTGTCTCTAACCCTCCCTTCTGATCTTCATCTTTTTCTCTTTCTCTCTATCTTTCCTTTTACTCTCTCATTTCCTGTCCCCCTCCCCGTTTTTCCTATTTTATTTCTTGTTTAAATGTTTAGTAAATGTGCGGCTCCATAACTCTTCCTAGCAACTCAAGTACACAGGAAGTTGTATTGGGAGGGGGGGGGGGTGCATTCTGTGGGAACATGGTGGATATTTTCTTTTGATGTGTTTGTTTTCCTAGCGGCCTTAATCTCTGTCCATCTCCCTTCGCGCCCCCTCACATTTTGTCCTACCTGTTCCTCACTCTCTGACTGTCTGTGTCACTGCTTTCCTCTCTCTCTCTTTGTATTTGCCGCTCTCCCTCACTCCCTCCCTCTCTTTCTCTCTCTCTCTCTCTTTCTTTCTTTCTCCATACCTTCAGTTGGTGTATAAGGTTATGTGTTGCCTAGTGCAGAACATTTCATGTCCATCATTCCCCCCTCCCACACATTAAATATATGTGTACTTTTAAAAACACATTTGCTGTCACCTCCCCCCCCCCCCCCCCCCCCCCCTTTTCTCCTCCCACATTGATGACACCTAGGGGAGGAAGTGCACCCCTTCCTGCTATCTTCTTCCCTCTATATCTCATCTTATTTCTTACTCCCTTCTTTCTCTCCCTGTCTCATTCCCACTTTATTTTCTTAAACTTTATTCTCTCACCTCCTCTGTCTCACCCTTACCACCTCAGCCTTCTACACCACTTTCCACCACCTCCTCTCTCCCCTCCTTTCTGTAATTGGAAAACCAGAAATAAAATGAAGTCCACTGCTGCCCTGACCTATTTATGTGTCTGACCTATTTATGTGTGTGGGTAAACTTCTCTATTTTCCACCAGTGGTGGGTTGGGATCCCCTGGACTTTTTTTTTCTTCATAAAATGACCTTGGCTCTCAGGTCACCAGCCTTAAGTGTAAGAAATTGAATTATTGTTGTCACACACAGATAGGACAAGCAAGGGGCAGTAGGGGTTAGCACTGTTGTTTTTGGACCACGGCCACATTCACATTGGGAGAGGGTAGGAACCGGAAAAGTGGCCTCACTTAGAGATTTCCTAATTCTATTTTGGGCACTCATTGTTCTTACACCCCCCACCCCCACAACCGTGTCTTACCTTTCTTCTCTCACCCCTTCTCTTTCCTTTGATCTTCTACTATTCTCCTTTCTCTCTCCATTCTTCCTCTCTTCCTTTCCTTGCCCTTTCTCCTGTCCCATCTCTTCTTTGTCTCCTCTCCATCCTGTCTTTTCATTTTCTCTAGATTTCCTTACCCGCTCCCCTCTCTCATTCTCTTTCCCCCCCCCCCCCCCCCCCCCCATTTTTTTTTACCTGGTTCATCTACATATTTGTTTGCCCCATAACTATCTTTTCCTTGTGGTTGTGTCCACTACACTTGAAATTGTGTGAGGGGGGGGGGGGGGGGGGGGGGGTGGCTGTTTTTTTTTCTTTGAGGTATCTTGTCTCCCTTCCCTCCCCCCTCTCTTAATCTGTGTTTGTCACTGCCTTCCTTACCCACCTTTCTCTCTCTCTCTTGCTTTATGTCTGTTTGCCTCCCTTCATCACTTCCTCTTTGTATACCTCCCTCCCATTCTCCTGCTCTGCCTTTTTTCTCTTTCTTTGGTTCTCTCCCTCTGTCTGCTTGCCTCTCTGTGCTGTCCCTTTGTCTCTCTCTCCTTTATGTCTACATCTCTCTCTGCTTGCATCTGCTTCTCACCCTGTCCGTTCTCTCTCCCTCTGTCTCCCTTCTTTCAACTCTTTGTCATATTTTCCTCCTTCCATATCTCTGTTTCGTTCCCTTTTTCCTTCTCTTTTCATCTGCCCATCTCTGTATCTGCATTCCCTCTTTCTGTATTTGTCTCCCTCTCTGTCTTTCGCTGTCCCTTCCCCACTTTTCTTCATCATGTCTCCATCCCTCCCTCTCATTTTTTCCTCCTTCCCCAGACTTCTTTTCCTTCTTTTCTCTACCTTCATCTGTCCATCTTTACACTGTCTCTTCCAGCCTACCTCAGCATGTGTCTTCCTCTCTCTTCATGACTCTCTCTCTCTCCCCTAACCCTCTCAGGTACCAGGTCCAGAACAGACAGGACTTCAGTTTGCTGCCCTCTACCACCAAGCCCTAAAAAAAAATTTCAAACACTATATCAAGCTCAGGGGCCGACCAACACGAAGATGGACACAGGATATAAGTGACTCCTTGAGTATAAAAAAGTACATGAGGCGGGAGAGCTGGTGAGAGACCGAGTTTTTTTTTTTGTCAGGACAAAGGAAATGCTACATGATGATGATATCTGTGCTGGTATACCAACACATGTGGCACAAATGAAGTACCTTGTGTGCTCAGTACACCCTTGAACAAGGCAAAAATCTTGTATTAGTATTACACCGAGACAACCTTGAAAAAAACTAAGGAGACCTTGAAAAAGACCTTAAAAAGCCTTGAAATTGATTGGTAAATTTGGCTATGAACCCTGAAATTATTTGTCCACTCACTTGTGGACCATTGTATGTCATCAGTAAGCTCTGATTGATATGAGAATGGCATCCACACATTTCTGTGATTACCTGTATATCTCAGGAGCTGCAGCTAGACTCACTTACCCAGCAGCTGCTGGTGGTGTTGATTGACTTGGTTTCCTCTGCCTGCCTGCCCTACATTGGGGAACCAGGTGATGTCCTGGCAAGTGAAGTGAGCTGGCCTGTGTTTAGAGCATCATCACCTGTTGAGTGGCGATTGGTCTGGAAAGCTGTAGCTTTGTGGCTAAATGGCCAATGCCTTTACTGTATTTATCTGTATATTTGTTTGAAAATTGTCTGGTCTTCACTAAACAGAAATGCATGTTTATTACTGAGTTGCCAATTGCTGCTATCTGTTCTACAGGATGCTGGGCTCACCAAAGACTATGTGAACTCGCCACATCACAGGTTTAAGAGAGCTAGCACCAAGAACTACATCTTCCCACCCACGGCTGTGCTGCACTTGTACAATGTGTAAGTGTCTGTCCCGTGAACAACCTATTCTTATCTTGTTAGTTGAGATGCAGTGGGGCTGGAGCCACATACTGTAGCGCCTCAAACCCGCACTTATACTGGCATACATGGGACACCTCTCTCTGGTCGACACAGACTCCTGAGCAGGGGACCTGGCGAATGTAGGTATCATTAAGAGTTGAGGAACCAACTGTCTGCACACACACACTTGCCAGATTTGTAAAATGGATGTGCACCAGAAGTGGATGAATAAACATAACTTTCCACAGTTTACAGTCGGTGAATGTGAAGAATAATGCCTATAGTGGATACAGCAGTTGGCCCCAGGAGTCCAAGCTGCTTTGTGGCAAGAGCTCTGAAAACAGAGCAAAGTTGACAGTATCCTTTTGTTGATTAGGTGCACACACTGAGGGTTGTATTTAAAGTACACTGAAACCAGCAGTTGGATAGTAATCTTCTGGGTCAGAATCTGGTACATTAACATAAGCCATAGCTCACCTCTTCATCATAGTAATCACATGTGATATTAGGTAGGACAGGCACTGCGGCACATGAACATCGTGTTTGTTTGTTTCACCAAACAGGGCCACACTGGAGGAAGATGATATCCGCAGCATGTTCTCTCAGTACGGGACCGTGAAGGCATTCAAGTTTTTCAAGTGAGTACCTCGTGTTTTCTCTGTTACAAAATGATATTTCCCTGACAGGGTCAGTTGCGTGTGGTATGTTCAGTCACGACCATTTCCAGCTGACAGGCTGTGCTGCTGTCACCGGCTTGAACTAACAATGGGACATTAAAGCAGCGGTTCTCAAACTGGGTGGGGTGCTGCGGCAATAACCAAGTAAAGTCGGCTAAAAATTGTTAAATTATTAAAGAAGGCTTGTAGATACTTAAAAATTTGAAATTTAATTTTTCTTCACTCATCACTGTCAAAAAAGTTTATTTCTTGTTTAAGAACCACTGTGTTTACACATCGTTGGCCCAACCTGGGGAGGTCAGCTCGTCGGCTGAAGCCGGTCGTGGTTCAGTTGTATTGGGTACTAGAGTTTACTTTGCTCACTGGCGGGGGACTGAAATGACTGCAGAATTTGATCATTGACCAGAGATGCAGTTTACTGTAAACATGGTGCCACCGTAGAAGTCTCAGATGATGCTACACGTTATAGACTGCGACACAGGGCTGCTGTAAGGTGTCTGATTCAAAGCCGTTCCTGATTGTGTCGGTTACTCATGGATAGATTGGGAGCAGAAACATCTGCTTGTTTATAAAACCACTTTACATTGAAATCTTATTGCTGGGTTTAATTATTCTTTAATATACTTGTAGGATGTTTTAGATATACTATATATATAAATATTAATTTATATTTTTTTTTTTTACTATTGTTTACTTACGTGTGTATGATTTTGTATAGGTGTAAATGAATGTGTGTGTGTGGTATGACTTACATGTATGATTGTGTGTGTGTGTGTGTGACGTGACTTACATATATGATATTGCCCACAGCAATGACAGAAAAATGGCTCTCATCGAGATGTCTACGGTGGAAGAAGCTACTCTGGCCCTTATTGTGAGTACAATCTCTCCTTTATTAGTTTTGTTAGTGTCGGTGTGCAGGAGTACTTAGATATTTAGTGCTGTTGCACAGCTGGTAACTGCAACAGTTCTCCCTGACCCGTGTGGTACTTCCACTTTTTGTCGCGTTTTTCTGAAAAAGATGATGCAGCAGAGGAAGAAGCTGTTTTGCTTTTAGAGTAATTAAGAAAGCAGACATCAAAGGACGTGGTGGGGGTTATGGATTAGAGGTATGGTCAGTCTCTGTCATAAGTCACAATGTTTGGTTCAGGTCACAGATCAACATCATGGCACAAGGGCAGTAACCCACAAGTGCTCCGTTCTACTTCTGACTCAAGCCTGAGTCCAGAGAATCTCAGCACAGTGCACAAACTCTGTAGCACCGGCGAGATGATGATCTTGTTTGCACATCTAGAAATCAAGGGTTAAGGCAGTCCACTGACACGGTGGAATGATTCTTTGATTACACCTGCATATGGGCTTCTAGGGGTCTGTGATACATACACCTGCATATGGGCTTCTTGCTGTCTGTGATACATACACCTGCATATGGGCTTCTTGCTGTCTGTGATACATACACCTGCATATGGGCTTCTTGCTGTCTGTGATACATACACCTGCATATGGGCTTCTTGCTGTCTGTGATACATACACCTGCATATGGGCTTCTTGCTGTCTGTGATACATACACCTGCATATCGGCTTCTAAAGGCCTGTGATACGTAATCCTGCATATGGGCTTCTAAAGGCATGTGATACGTAATCCTGCATATGGGCTTCTTGTCGTCTGTTTAACATACACCTGCATATAGGCTTCTTGCTGTCTGTGTTACGTAATCCTGCATATGGGCTTCTAAAGGCCTGTGATACGTAATCCTGCACATGGGCTTCTTGCTGTCTGTTTAACATACACCTGCATATGGGCTTCTTGCTGTCTGTGATACGTAATCCTGCATATGGGCTTCTGAAGGCCTGTGATACGTAATCCTGCATATGGGCTTCTTGCTGTCTGTTTTACATACACCTGCATATGGGCTTCTTGCTGTCTGTGATACACACACTTGCATATCGGCTTCTAAAGGCATGTGATACGTAAACCTGCATATGGGCTTCTAAAGGCCTGTGATACGTAAACCTGCATATATTGGACTTCCGGCGGGTAAAGAAGGAACAGAAAATGTCGCCTCGTGTGGGGCTGACATTTCTTTACAATTAGTCTTGTTGAATATATTGTAAAATACTGTGTGGTCTGATCTAATTGTGTAAACATGACTACATCTGAAATGATCAAAAATGCTACACACAAAAAATGCATCAGGGCAGAAGTTAAGTATTAGTGTGTCAGAATGTTGGGGATTGAGAATCCAGAACTGACTAGGATTGTATGTGGTGACATGAGGGTGTCAACAGATTTTAACACCTGTCTGTATTTCATCAGGGCCCATTGAGCAGTTTCTTTAGTGGCCCTCAAGGCTAGCGTAAAATGACTATATAATCTTGTGTGGGTGAGTGTGTCTGGCTACAGGCACAGCAAGGAATTCTAATTTTAGATATCCTACAAAAGTATATTTGTTCTCTGGCCCGTGACCAGGCTGGTGATTCCAAATTTTGCACACAGGCTAGAAAAAATGTTGCCCACTCCTGTTATAGCCTAGTGGGAGAGGGACTGGAGCAAGTGATAGGATGACTGAAATAATGTGTGTGGGGTTGCTTGTCTTTCTGTTCTTGTGTCCATGATGTGTGGGGTTGCTTGTTTTTCTGTTCTTATGTCCATGATGTGTGGGTTTGCTTGTCTTTATGTTCTTATGTCCATGATGTGTGGGGTTGCTTGTCTTTGTGATCTTATGTCCATGATGTGTGGGGTGGCTTGTCTTTGTGATCTTGTGTCCATGATGTGTGGGGTTTCTTGTCTTTATGTTCTTATGTCCATGATGTGTGGGGTGGCTTGTCTTTCTGTTCTTATGTCCATGATGTGTGGGGTTGCTTGTCTTTATGTTCTTATGTCCATGATGAGTGGGGTTGCTTGTCTTTATGTTCTTATGTCCATGATGTGTGGGGTGGCTTGTCTTTGTGATCTTATGTCCATGATGTGTGGGGTTGCTTGTCTTTATGATCTTATGTCCATGATGTGTGGGGTTGCTCATCTTTGTTATCTTATGTCCATGATGTGTGGGGTGGCTTGTCTTTGTGATCTTGTGTCCATGATGTGTGGGGTTGCTTGTCTTTCTGTTCTTATGTCCATGATGTGTGGGGTTGCTTGTCTTTCTGTTCTTATGTCCATGATGTGTGGGGTTGCTTGTCTTTCTGTTCTTATGTCCATGATGTGTGGGGTTGCTTGTCTTTATGTTCTTATGTCCATGATGTGTGGGGTTGCTTGTCTTTCTGTTCTTATGTCCATGATGTGTGGGGTGGCTTGTCTTTATGATCTTAATTCCATGATGTGTGGGTTTGCTTGTCTTTCTGTTCTTATGTCCATGATGTGTGGGGTTGCTTGTCTTTGTGATCTTATGTCCATGATGTGTGGGGTTGCTTGTCTTTGTGATCTTATGTCCATGATGTGTGGGGTTGCTTGTCTTTCTGACCTTATGTCCATGATGTGTGGGGTTGCTTGTCTTTGTGATCTTGTGTCACTTTTTGTAACATCTATTTTTGTCTGCAGCATCTGCACAACTACCAGGTTGGAGACAACTTGCACATGAGGGTGTCCTTCTCTCGATCAACCATCTAAGCTGTTGAGAGACAGCACCGGCACAACAGCTGTTGTGTGTTTTTTTTTTGGGTTCAATTTATCATTTTGCAGTTCCATTAAAAGTTTCATATTTGCTATTTTACAATTTAATGTGACATCATCACCTTCATTGTCATTTAAAGGCTAACTTTGTCATCAGTTACGTCTGTACTCATCATCACCAGTCTGCCGTCTACACCACACAAATTTTGTCATTTGTATATCGGTGGGCAGCAGCCAAATTTGTTAGGGGAATTTTTAAAAACATTTTCCATCTGGAGCCTTAAAGAATTGTTTGGCATCAGTCTGCTAGATCTCTCTTTCTCATGCTATACTACTGGCCACCTCATGGTTGCCAACTACATCATCTTGTGTACTATAATCCTCCGTGTTTTTTTTACATTTGTCCGGTCATTTGTGCGCGGGGCGTGTTCGATGTCAGCTCTGTATTTGAAATGCCGAGACACATTAAAATTGTTGTGCTTTTATTTCTGGTCAGCTTCCATCATTTCTTGTGTTTTGTTCTATTGTACAGCTGTGCTAGTAGTTTTGTTTTATTGTACAGCTGTGCTAGTAAATGTTGTGATGATGTGACTTTAACAGAAGGGGCCATATTTTATAGTTTGTATGCTAAGAAATTAAAGTCGTTTGGATGAGCAGCAGAGCCTTAAATGTCATGAAAAGCACTTTCAGAACTTGTGTAAAAATGGCAGTGCCTGATGTAAATTGAGAAATGAACCTAGTACAGCCTTTGAATGACAGACAAGACAGCATGGCTAGAGATCCCTGACGGGCGAGAAACCTCCATGAACCGATGTGTTAGTCATAAGTCTCTCCGCTTTTTATAATCTGAAGGTTGGCAAATATGAACAGGAGGAATGCTTATCCTCACAAGATTTTGGGGTTGTGACTTTGGTCCTTATCGGTTCTACAGAGGTGATTGTACACTGTGACCTGCCTCGGTTTTGATCTACATTCCCCGCTTGGTTTTAGAAGCTCTATTTTAGGGTTCAGAAAAAATGCATCCTCTAACAAACAGGTCTTGAAAAGCAACTGATTAGGGTTGTTTGCTGCAAATTAGGAGTGCTTCTGCCTTGAGAGCTGAGGAACTAAACATCTGCATACAGATAAGCTAGATGTGCTTGCACAATTCAAGTTCTGTGAGAATCAGAGACAGATATACATTTCTTTGTGGGGAAATATTGCATCATATATATTAAGAGAAAAACAACAACAAAATCATTTGGCCATCTCGCTAGAATGTAAGAACTACAGACATATAAGTGCTACATCTTTTTACAAAAAATGTGATTGGAGAGCCTTATGATGGATTTGTATTTAGGTTACATTGTATGCCCGTTCTGAATGAGAATGGCCAGGAATACTTGTAACAAAAGTGCAAGCTGGCAATGATTGGATTATAAAAGTCTTTCTGCAGTTACAATGTGTGTGTAGCAATACACAATTTCGTCCTTTTTAGGACGAATTTTTTGTCATTTGGAGCCCTACTCTGGCTTTTGCCAGGGGCCGCAATATAGGCAGGCCATATGTCTGAACGCGGTTTCTGGGACCTCTCCACGGCGATCCTCATCCGCATGGTGGCACTTTGTGTCATCGGGTGTTTATCGCTTGTGTGATGTCCTAGTGGGGTAGAAATTCATTCATTCATTCATACCATTGTCGAACTTGGACCCTGACTAACACTAATGACTGCAACATAAAAGAGATAAAATATCTTAGACGAGCATTCAGTGTACTAACCTGGTGCATGGCTCGTCCGCCATTCACAGCAGCTTTACCAGCAAGACAAATCAGCTGGCTCATTTCCTTACATTGTGAAGCTCTATCTTGTCATTTTCATGTCATTGCACTTCTTTGTGCCATGTCAGGAATATGAAACTTGATGTGTCGGCCCCTATCGCTTCAGGGGAGTGGCCGAGCAGCTAGACGCTCGCCGCGGATCGGAAGGTCGTGGGTCCGCTACCTGGCGGAGCCAGACTTTTTTCAAAAACGACATTGGCTCCCAGGTCGACCCAGTCTTGAGTGGGTACCGGGTGCAGTCCCGGGAAAGTGAAGGCGGCCGGCATGAGACTGACCACATCACCCATCTTGTGCCGATTGGTCTATAAAAAATATAGGTCTAGCCCTATATGCCTTAAGGCGTTGAAAAGGGTCCTTTACTTTAATTTTTTACCATCGCTTCAGAGACTGCAACCACTGTCTTCAGACCTAGCCCATCTCTTTATCTTCCTCATCATCATTGAGTCACTAAGAACAGCCCTGCATGTATAGCTAAATAATGCTTCTGGATCAACTGAGGGAAGGGAGATGAGAGATGTCTTGACAGCCTTTTACCATGCCGTGAAGGGGTGTTGGTACATAATTATGACACATTGTTTGGGGATGACCAGCTGTTTGCATTCATTGCCTGTAAACTCTGGGAAAGTCCTGGTTGTTCATAGTTTTGTTCAAGGACCTGAGTTTTACGTGCGCGCCAGCTTTACAGAGCTAGCCTAATTATATGCAGACTGCTGGTTCCTTGCTTCTTGGGCAGACGCACTCAGACTTCCAAGGGATGACTTTGTCGACTCCTTCCACATACTTGTTGGGGCGGCAGTGGGTCATTTATTCTTCTTCCCCCTCCCCGCATGGAAGGGGTGGTCCTGCTGAAATGCGGGGCCTTTTATGATGATGATACATTGAGACCTAGATAACATGAACTCTCGTTACGACGAACAGTTGGTTAACGTAATGTTAGCTACAGCAAGGATGTTTATCATTCGTAGAGTGCGTTTCATTGGTGGCTTGGAAAATATGGTGACAGAAGTGCAGTTTGTGGAAGGCGAAGCAGGGGTCGACCACCGCGAAGATGGATACAAGACATTGAAGATGCATTGGCATTAAAAGCACATGGGGGTGGCTAGGGAAAGGGATATTTCAGGCGTGTCGTGAAGAGAGCGACGTTCTGTAAAGGACTTGCTGATTGATGAGCGTTTTAAAAACTAATGCCGACACATTTTAACGAATATCGAAAACTTATGTACGGATCAACACCAACGTTTGCATGTGATCTTGGATTTCATATGTCGTTATGATTCTATAATTTACAACGCACCGATGCTGCTGTTTTCTGAAAGCGTCGAATATGGTTGATTTTTGTTTGTTTAATCATTTCTGTATCTCTGGAAAAAAGACAATAAAGTAACTTAAACGTGTAGAGACTGAAAATCAGTTGACATGGGCAGCGATGCGAGGTGACTATTTTGATAGCCTATTCCCCACTCAATGAAAAATCTGCAACTCACGGGATACTCATGTTGAAGATGACTAGCCGAGAATGAAACGTCGCGCAACATGATGATGTGAAAAGTTCACCTTGCTCAAGTTACTGTATGCATGCCGTTTGTTTGCCTTGAAAGGGTGTCTGTTTTTCTCATATATCACAAACAAGATAAATATAACCATATTTTTTTTCTAAACATAATAAAACAATCCTATCATGTCTGCATGCCATGTCGTATTCTGCATCAGCGAGTGTGCGGTGACTACAGAACCGATGCTGTGGATCGGGCCTTTTAACAGTTTACTTAGTGACCACAACGGGGATTGTCATGTCGGACTTCATCATAGAAAGATCATTAATACGTTACAAGTTGCAGATGCTGGGGGGAGGGGATTGCACTTGCTAGGCCTCTGCAGGCCCAATTTGACTGCCGGCCGCCAGTACAATAGCCCTGTTGTAGATCTAGATATGACGGTGATTCGTCCATTCGTCTAAACCAGCACGGTTCTGGCACTAGTGCCCTACCACAACCAGTGCCCTACCACAACCAGTGCCCTACCACAACCAGTGCCGTACCATAACCAGTGCTGGACCACAACCAGTACCTTTGTGCTGTTTATTCAGCGCTGACATGACAGACCGAAGGTCACAACGTTTATTGTAAAGTTCACGTCTGCACCAGAATCCATGTCATGGAACGAGATTCGGCTGGTCCGTACATCTGTTCCATTTGATTGATCTCAATTGTTTTCCCCCTCCTCAGTGCTCACTCCATTTTCTCCCGATTTCAGCACATCAGTAGTCTTCTTCTTCGCATTCACCAGCTGTTCACTCTGGCGGTGAGTTCTGGTTGTTCGTCCACTTCTGAACTGCAGTCCTGCTCCAGAACTTGAGTGTTGCGTGTGCATCAGTTTTACAGATCTGATTCACTTGAACCAGACTGTTGGTTCTTTGCCTTTAATTAAAGTGGTACGATTGACAAGCTATACGATTGTATCCATAGCGAGGCGCAGACGCCATTTGGAGGTGACAGGTTCAATTTTCGGCACGGTAACTATAGCTCTCGTTTGTTATGTTGCTTAGTGTGTCCTTCTATCTCTCTACTTCTTTCTATGAGTGCCTATCAATACATTGTCTCTTTGTGAATGTTATTTATACTATTTCTATGGCTTCAAGGGTTCTGTCTGTTTTTTTTTTTTTTTTTTTTATTGTGGGATAAAGCGCAGAAGAGGTCACTGCAGTCTAACGGGCATGGGTGTGTAGATTGAAGACAAATTCACCTCAAATTCACTCCCAAATAGGATTTTTTTTTTAAATTTTAAAACCAAGCTAAGCTTAACAAAAACCCAAGCAAAAAAAAAAAAAAAAAAGGTTGTTAACAAGTACAAATTTTATAGTTACGAAATGTAACATTAACCCACTTTAATGCAAAGATTATATATATATATATATATATATATATATATATATATATATATATATATATATATATATATATATATATATATATATATAATAAAACCACACAGATTTCAAAATTGCAACCCAAGGCGCCATTTAAAAACCCATATCTGAAAAGGAGGGCGGGGGGGGGGGGGGGGGGGGGGGAGAGACCCAGTATTGGTAGCCCTGCGCCTGGGTGGGTAGTTTATCCCCCGTGGGATTAAAACCTACCAGATAAAAATCAAAGCAGGTAGAAATCCCGGAAACTCCATTA